GCAATATCGTTTGATTGATGCTTACATTCAGGTTTATTTACTGTTATGGAAGATTATTGGCAGCAGTCAATGTACACAATTTATTCCAGGACTCGAAGTATTTCGTGGATATGCCAATGAAATTTGACCCTGGTATGATAAAACTTTAATATTACTAGTGATTTATTAATTAGATAATTCAATTTTGCTATTTTATTAATTTTAAATTAAGGTGCCTTGTCTAACTTCCAAATCATTATCGATTAAGCTTCCTCACCAAAAAAGTATATAGAATAGCAATTGTGAGGCATTGCGAAGTTCCAGAAGTAATACAAGAAGAATTTGATAGACGTTTTGGTGAATATGAGCTTCAAGCCATTAATCGTTCTGCACTGAAAGCATTCGTTGACGAATATTTCGATCTACCCGGAAACGAATTAGAAGACTGTCAATTAGAAGAATGGATTGAGCATCCATCGAAACTAATGAAGATTCAAGATACACTGCTACGTGATTGGGCCCTAAAACTGAATGCAATTTGGAAATTATTATGTCGAAAAGTATATTTTTTGAAAAACTTCGAGCATTTTTGACAGTTTTAATTCTTCAGATTGTTCATTTAAATATATTATTGCACACTATTTGATTTATACAGAAAGCATACACACACCGAATAAAATAGATTTTACTGAAGATAATTGAAAGGTTCATAAATTCTCTAAAGTTTATAAGGGACTTTTTTATTCCGCACAATTGATTTCTGCATTGCTACAGATAAAATCAAATGGAAATCCAAAGCGAACTTCATTAATTTATGTCCCAGAGGAATTCATTGTACCTGGTGGACGATTTCGTGAGTTCTATTACTGGGACGCTTATTGGATTGTGAAAGGTTTGGCAGCTAGTGGACTTCACAATACAATCAAGAAAATGATTACCAATTTTGTTACTATCGTCGATAGGTAACAATATTTCTTGTTTTCTTGCCACTTCAAATCATTTATTAATCAATCTAAATGAGTTGAAGTAAGAAAGTACATTTTTTAAAGGAAATAAAGCTATTACTTTAATAACTAATCGGTATTTATACGTTCTTTAAATTGCTTTAAAAACTGATTCCTTGAAGACTTCAAATATATCACTTCTTGTTTTAGATATGGATTTATCCCAAACGGAGGTCGGATCTATTACCTTGGACGGTCTCAACCACCACTGCTCATCCCTATGGTTTATGAGTATTATGAGCTGACACATGATCTTGCATTCATAAATAAAATTTTGCCGACTCTCATCAAAGAGTACGAATTTTGGCAAAACAACAGGTAATGAAATATTGATATGAAACAGTTCTTGATAGTTAGAATTGGTCTTGGTCTTCTTACTAAGATTTCAACAATTTCTAATATTAGAATATTGAGTATTGTGAAGAATATCACGTGAAAAGCTATTTGGTAATTAAATTAGTTCTTCGTTGAATTTCGTTTTTGAACTTGCATGATCATTCGAGCATTCAAAAGATTCTTTTTAAAGATCATACCTTTTTGACTAATTCAGGACCTCAAATCTCAAATTTTGAAGAGCCAAATTTATACATATTCATTAAGTTACAGAGTTATCAATGTGTCAGATGATAAAGGCAACACATTTTCGGTTTTTTATTACCACAGTAAATGTAATGTACCACGACCGGAATCATTTCGTGCAGATATTATACATGCTTCACTGCTCCTAGCTCACGAACGACCAAAATTTTATATGGTTAGTAAGAAAATGATTCTAAAATAAAATGCTAAAATTTAAAGTCTAATGTCTACTTTCAGTTTTCACACATTATTTGTAGGATATAGCATCAGCTGCAGAATCAGGGTGGGACTTCAGTTCTCGATGGTTCAGAGATAATCACAACATTGAAACTATCGAAACAACCGATATTATCCCAATTGATTTAAATGCTTTCATATGTTGGAATCTGGATATTTTGCAGTATTTACTTAAGCATACAGGTAACGAAGTGATGAGAAAGACTATAAAAGAGGAAATTTGTTTTAATGAATAATTAAATATATGCACGGAAAATTTATATGTATATAACATATGTTTGTATGAAAAAGTACGGAAAATTTGAACTTTTCTCATATCTGACTAGAATTCTAGGTGTTGTAATTTTTGCTCATCATTTTATTGTTTTATTGAAAGACGTAATAATATCAAGCAGTAGTTCTAACAGGTTTCAGGATAGCTTCATTAAATTGAAGTCACTGAAATATTTGAGTGATAGTGATAAATTTATGTTGATCATTTGACATTTTTCTTTCTGTACAATTTTATTTCAAGATAGTTGGTTCATATCCTTTTTTTTTACTTTTATTTGTATTTGTATGTTCTCAATCTATTGCTTAGGAAATCCTTCGAAATCAAAAATGTTTCGTGATAAACGAGAAATTCTCCGTCAAGCAATGCTTCAAATATTTTACAACAATACTGAAGGTGCCTGGTTCGATTACAATTTGCGAACTAAATCTCACAATTTCAACTTTTATCCATCAATTGTGGTACCATTGTTCGGCGAATGCTATCAGCCGTTGAACCTGGCCCGGCCACAACAAATCGTCAACTATTTGAATGCTCGTTTTTCAGAAAATTTTCTTCTTTCTTTAAAAATTCAAAATGGGTAAAAGTGCGAGATTAAAAAGGAACTTTTGCAGGGATCTATTGAACTTTCAAATTATTATTTGAACTGTGGCATATCGTTTTTGCCAAAGAATTTTTTTATCGTATGGTTATGCTAACTTTACAGAAAACGGGAGTATACAACTATCCAGGTGGTATACCAGCAAGCCTTATTGAAAATACCAAACAGCAGTGGGATTTTCCAAATGGTTGGAGTCCTGCAAACCATATGATTATTGAAGGAATGAGAAAGTCTAGCAATCCGGTTGTACAAGAACAGGTACAAAACGGAAATGTGTAAATTCCTAGTAAAGGAGCTCAAATGTACCATCATTTTATAGGCTCGTTTACTTATGCAAAGTTTGTTTTTGGAAACCATATGATGGCATATTATTTGTTTAGGCATATCGTTTGGCAAGGAAATGGATTTTGGGCAATTTCAAAGTATTTCGGGAAACGGGTTATATGTGGGAAAAGGTTAATACTTTTACTAATGTTAAATGAATAATCAGATTGAGAAAGATGTTTAAATCAGAAAATAACGTATTTTGACAGCTTAGACCATCTCACTATGTTGCGGAGTTATATTCAATTTATTTCTTCAAAACCTAAATTCCAAAGTGCTCAACCACACTTTTTTCAGTATGATGTCAATGGAACTGTATCACAACCAGGTGGTGGCGGGGAATATTTTGTTCAGGTACATATATTTTCAACTGCTAACAAAGCAGTATTGCTATATATTTCAAGCTGTCTAAAAACTGTGAAAAAACCATAATGCATAAAGCTGTAGTTATAAGACAAAAGACACATATATAAATGCCTCACTCACTCTAATTTTTCTGGCATGAATTAAAATTGTGATTTCCAGGATGGCTTTGGCTGGTCGAATGGGGTTATTTTAGATCTGTTAACAACGTACTATGACAGAATGCGCATTAATCCGGAAGATTTAGTGTTGAATAACAATGGTTCTGCAACACTTTCAGCATCTGCACGAATAAGCTCTAAATCCACCATTTCTTTTATTTCAATATTTTATACGTATTTACTAATGCGCTGACACGAAGTTCCTCTAATATAATACTGTCCAGAAATCGAAATTTACAGCCTGTTAAGATTAATAACACATATTCTTTTTAACCAACTTCAATATTATATCTAACTGAAATCATTGCGCTCTTGTTTTAATTTAATATGTAAGATTTTGGTAAAATTGTTTCAATTAAAGTTCTAGAATAGAAATGAAAGCACAAATCTAAAATAATATGCAAACATCATGCAAAAGAACTAACAATTTTTTAGAAGAGTGATCTTTTTGATTAACGGGATGAAATTACCACTGTTTCATCTACAAATAAATTTGATGAAGCAAAATACATCTAAATACCTTAAGACTTGCTTAAAAAATTCGATGTAAAATATTTTATTAAATATAAACTTTGGAATTTAATATGGAATCTTATAATATTCATAGGTCTCAACGTTATTATTTTATGATGAAAGGATTATATGAAAAAGTAGAACAAATTATAACTATTCAAGCATTTCTAAACATATCCATATATGGTATTGAGAAAGAAATAGACAAACATTAATTTAATATTGAATCTCATAACATCCATAGGACATAGCAATACATCCATAATGCACCTACAAATGTATATGCATCTGTATATGCATAAAGAAAGTAGGAAAGCGAATATATATTTTATATTTCACAAATTCTAAACCAATAAAATTAGAGTCCATTAAGGATATCAAGAAGCACTTTATGAAACAATGTGGTCTAAAGTACTTACTTCGTATGATACATGAATAAGGCCTTCAGCACCTATTAAAGCGTGCAAGACTTATAAATTATTCAGTAACAGCGTGAGCTTAAAAACAATCTAAATTTTGCATAACATTAATCATTAAAATATGACTTAATGGATTTACTATTTTCACTACAGCGCAGAAAACTGGTTGGTAATCAATTTTCGAATGAATATGAATTCAAAAAGTGTTCAATTGGTTCCTTAGTATTAGCATGAAAGAATTATACTTAGGTTATATCCCTAGCTGAAATAATTTAGGTCAAGTTAAGACAATATGCAGTACAGTCAGGAAAGAAAGAAACTATAATATAATGAAATATAACAAGATATGCAAATAGAAAAAGTGATCGAAAAACCATTCATAGTAAATCTTTTCAATCCTTTCTGCGGCTCGTAAATCCAAAAAGAAATAAATGTTTAAGAAGTAGTTGATCCATTAAATTTTTAAGAAATCTGAATTAATCTCACCTTATTAGCAAAAAAATAAAGAAGTATAGAACAAACTATGCGTCCATCAAAGTGGTACAGTTTCTATCGCAATTCGACGTAATTTGCTGGAAACAAACCATATTGCCCGTTACAAAGCCCCCGCCACCAACCAGTATCAACCTAAACGGTGCTAATTTACATAACGTTACAAAACTCCTAATAAACATATACATTACTAAAGAAAACAAGTTAAAAAACTAATAAAATCAGCAGGATTTGTAGTAAAAATGTACTTTATAGAAATGTATTTTGTAAGAAAAATTTATTTCGAACCGAAAATAAACTTATGAAGTTGCTTATACAAGAAAGAATTCTACCATATTGAACAAAAACTACCTGATCAATATTGGTGATGATATCATCAGGATCAAAGCTGATTTCGTCATCGTCTTGCTTCTGATAATCGTAAATAGCAACAGCTGTAAGACCTGTAGAACTAAGTGGGTGCGTTGGTGATGAAAGTGGATCACTTACCGCTATTATTTTCGATTGTCCTCTCTGAAAAAAAGTAGCGTTTTAAATGTTGCATTGCAGAAAATGTTATACTTAAAATAAAGAAACCATAAAGTGTATATGCAATAATAACCTGTCCGGAAATAAACAGCAAGAAAAAATAAATAGTGAAATAAACATCAGTACAAAATATAAGAAAAAAAAAATAATAGGTACGAATTTTTGATGCGACTGCACAGTCATTCACATAACAGAAAAATAGAGAAACTGGTGAAATACAGATGCAGAATAGGAATTGAAAAGGAAAAAGTAAGCAAGTAAGAAATACTAATATAATTTTTTTAAAAAAATGAAAAAAAAAACCTGTATATAAAAGAACTAAGACTTAACCAAAAGTCTACTTAAAAACGAACTTCAGTAATTAAAAAATTTGTCTAACAATAGCGGATATCTACCAATAAAGATTACAGTTCTAAAGAAAATATTCCCATTGTTGCTTTGCAAATAATCTGATGAGCAAGGCTTTAATTAATAAACTACACCTCTAAAGAAGACTCATCATGTCTTTCATTATACTCAGTAACCGTCTCCGATAGTAGCGACTGCGTTATAGGTGCTGGTGGCGGTACTGCGTTATCTCCCGGTACTACATCATACCTATTTCCACTTAACATTCCTTCTTCAGTTGTTAATCCTTTTGTCTGAAAGTAAAGAACGACACCTCTAAGGAAAACAGCTTGGTTTAGTGGAACAAAAGCTTCAGTTTGAAGGCAAACTGATAACTTAAAATAAACAAGGACATACGCAAAGACTTCCTCTACTACCTCTGAGTGAGCTGATAAGTGTGCAAAGTTGTTCTGCAATTCATTATTCCAATTTTGGACATTTTCACTCCTTTCAACATTATGTGGAGCATAACGTTCCATTCCGTTGAAAAGTTTATTAGATGAAAGATTGAAAAGTGGCAATTTGACAGGTTGGGGTGGAGAATTCTCCGATGTAACGATATTTTTATGCAGCTCAATAGAAGTTTCACGTTTGGCAGGAGATCCAGCTATTCCAGGCATTATAGCTACGGCTCCAGCTGGAGCACGAGAATGTCGTTTAGGAGCGCCTAAAATATTACCAAATTTTATGAAGCTATAATTTCTAAAACATAAGCGCTGAAAAAAAAAATTACCTCCAGTATGGTGCAACTGCTCATGCTTCCGTATTTCTTCTCTAACTGCTTCCGGATCCATCTGCAGTTCAGTCATAAATTCTTAGAAATCAGAGAGAAAAAGTGCAAAAACGTATTGAAAAAATTTCCCGACAATATCCAATGAGGAAAAGTTTAATTATATAACATGACCCCTTACTAAAGTCCAACATTTTTTACATCAAATAAATGTTTAAATATTTTCCATTTTAATTTTTAACTTGTCCAGTATTAATGATTTTTGACCTGTTGCTCTAGTTCTTCACGTCGCCTCCACTCCTCAGCGATTTTTTTCTGTCTTTCTTCCTCCTCCTTTTCCCTTTGCTTGCGTAGTTCTTCATCTTCCCGTTTTCGACGTTCACGCTCTTGCTGCACTTTTTCGTCATTCTACAAAGCAAAAAAATTCACGCACTTCATGTCTGTATAATATGTAAAAGATAAAAATCGAAAAGAACAAAAATTTGCATAATCAATTAAAACTACAACGTTATAATAACATACTAGCCAAACTCAGCATATTGAGAACTTTAAGCTTAATTTCCCAAAGACTTTCGAGAACACACCTCATCAACTGAAAGTTGTTCAAATTTAGCACGTAAATTTAAAGCCATTCCTTTTGGTGTAACAGGTACAGCATTCTTCTTCGGTGTTTGTTCTTTTTCTGAAAAGTTATGATGCAAACATTATCACATGATTATCAACATAACATCCCAAAACACCAAATCCCAAATCAATTTTTAAGTTCACAGTTAAATCTTCATTATAATCCTAAATGAACTTAATAACATACAATAATAAAAATAAATATTTGCTACCATAGGAGCTCTTTTCACTCACACAACTTATACTAAAAAACTACACATCGAATTTACAAAGATAATCGAATCATCTCCACAGTTTCAATACATGTAAATTTTCACGAATGTTGCCTTTAGCATAGTTCTCGCTGTCCTGTTGAACAAGATCATCATACTGCTGATAGCCTATTGCCGATTTATCCTGTCTGTCTTCTTGTAAACCAAAACGACCACCAAAACCTTTTTTATAATCTAGAATTTAGGAATATTTTAAACAATATTACCACAGAACTTAATAAGAAACATAAAATTAATCTAGTTATACCTTACCTGTTTGGCTTTCATGTTTGTTCAATTTTTCATAATCATCCCAACCAACAGCGCTTTTATCCTTTCTGTCCTCTTGGATACCGAATTTTCCCCCAAATCCTTTTTTATAATCTAAAATTTATTGAACATTACAGAAGTGTTAAAACATAAATCAAAACTCGCTGGAAATTATGGTTTAAGATGCTTTAGAGCAGTAAAAGAACTTTTGAAATACCTACCTACTTGACTTTGATGGGTGGCTAACTTTTCATGCTCATCCCAGCCAATTGCACTTTTATCTTTACGATCTTCCTGAATACCAAATTTACCACCAAACCCCTTCTTGTAATCTGGAATTTATTAATCGTTTATATAACAAATGTTTTAAAAAACATAAATGTTAAGAAACCCTTTAAAACTCTTGAATGATACCTATTTGGCTTTCATGCTGCTGTAGTTTTTCACGTTCTTCCCATCCATGTGCACTTTTATCTTTGCGGTCTTCTTGAACACCGAATTTTCCACCGAAACCTTTCTTATAATCTGTAAACAACTGCCCTAAAATCTTTCACTCACATAGTCTTACGATTCAAAATTTAAAGGAAAAAAAATCTATTCCGAAGTTTGCAGAAGATAATCTACAATTTAAAAGTTCATCAACAAGCCCAATACCTGTTTGGCTCTCATGTTGTGGAAGTTTCTCCTGTTCCTCCCAACCAAGTGCACTTTTATCTTTCCTGTCAACTTCAACTCCATATTTTCCACCAAAACCTTTCGCATAATCTGAAAATCGAAATTAAAATAGCAAAGTAATAAATCAAGAGGATGCAATAACTTCAAGTTACTATAACATAAACAAAAAGAATAAATTTTCTGTAAACCATATCTTGCGTGGGAAAATCACAATATTTAAATTTATCTTAGGATCCTTAAAATATAATAAGGATGATATAAAACAACAGAACTTGGAATTTTCCTAAAATTTTGGGAAAAGAAAGAGAAAAAAAACTTATGAGTTATTAACTTTTCACCTTTTCAATCCAGCTTAATTCGGACACCACTAAGAATGTGGACAACAAAGATACATAAAGCAAATTATTTAGAAAAACAATAGTAAATAAATCAAAAAATCACTATAAGTGACTGTGAATTATTCTATAAATATATCGCAGACAACAAGAAAAGTCCTGAAAAGGGTGAATCATTGGCTCTTTTAACTATATTGTGAAGTGAAATAAGAAACAAATAAACATTCACTACTTCCTTACCTCTCTTCCTATTTCACAACCAACTCCTTTTTCTTATCTGTTGTTTGCATAGAATCAAAACTTCTCTATTGTCTGCAGTTGTTTATCATGTTATGGCATCCATTCATTTCTATTAAAATTGGTCTTTCGTGGACCATTTTTAGGATAAGTGAACTAAGAATAAATTAAAACCACGAGAAAACTGTCTGCGATATAAAGTCACTTTATATCTCATTATTAAATATTTTGGATAAAAGTATGGAATTCTACTGTTCAGAGATGAGAAAATATTCTCATTAACAATGGGAAGAGAAACAAACACATAACAAAAGACAAAAAGAACTAAGGAAGAAGAGAAAAAGAAAGACGAGAAAGCATGATCCTCAACATTTTCTTTACCTATTTGACTTCCATGTTTAGAAAGAGCCATCTTTTCATCCCAACCATGAGCACTTTTATCCTTCCGATCCAATTCAACACCATATCTCCCACCGAAACCTTTAGCGTAATCTTTCTGCGATGAATGTTTGTCTACCTTCCCAGCGTATTCCCATGTTTTGGCACACTGAAAAACATAACTTTAAAATAATTTTGTAATAAAGGCTTACTTAAGTCAACAAAATGGGGAAGAGAACTGAACAAGTGTTGAATTGAAAATATGAATATAAAGTGATAAAGACCTTATCCATGCGATCCTTCTGCACGCCAAATTTGCCACCATATCCTTCACTTGCTTTTGGCATTTCTGATGCTTTTTTGGCCTATAATACAAATATTAATAAGCATGTAGATCTTCTATCTTGCCGAAAACCTATTGCAGTAAGTCGGTTTTTGATTCAGATATTATGGAAATATAATGTACGCTGTATCACAAAACAGTTCATAAAATTGTTGCTGTATCAGCTTTTTACTAATAACCAAACAATGAAGAACCAAAAAACAAGTCAGAAATCAACCAAAATAGCTCAGAAAAGATGAATGTAATGCAAATTAAATCAACTATTAATAAGCATATAGATCTTTTAACTTGCCGAGAAATTATTGCAGTAAGTCGGTTTTTGATTTAAAAAAAAAAAAAAGAGACAACAAAGATTTACTTTTATCAGACCGTCGCTTTTAATTACATCTTTACGTAACTGATCTAATGAAACCGATTCCAAATGACCAGATCCTTCAACAGTCTTCGCACCCCAGCGACTTTCTTTTTCATTTACATCATTCTGGAAACACAATCGTTTTATAATAAAAATAACAATCTCCATAACACAATTCTGTGAATGATTCTTTAGATGAAAATCTAATCCTACTTTAGGAATGCCAAATTTTTGAACCAGCTATAACGTGACTGCATTTTCATGAAGGTTTTCCCGATAATGTCTTCAAAAAAGAGTATATATCACTTGCTAAGCTTTCTACATTATATTTCGACCTCGACCTCAATTTACCGACCGATAATGCAGTTGAACAAGACGAGTATTCCTTCCATAATACAAACGACATCTAAAATTTTATCCCTCCCGTTAGAAAACCGCAGCTCAGTTTGCTGATGAAAGTTTCTTCGAAATGCTAAGCCCTAATCGCATGTTCAAAATGGGAGGACATGCTATATAAATCTTGCAGCAGTTCGGAAAACCTACGATAAAGTCTGGGTCCGTATCCCAATCATCTACTCCTCCCTCTTGCTGCTTTAACTTCTCATTTTGCGTTAGATTTACGGTAACTTGCGCACGCCACATTGAAACCACAGGCGAAAAAAATGTACTCAGATTCGATCTGAAACAGCAAATATAAAAAGGAAGTTACAGTATGAAGAAAATATCACTGTAATTATTTCAGAAGCATTAACTTCAACAAGAAGGTATTCAATGTATGTTGATAACGCTAAAAACCGAAACCCGTGAAGATTCCACGCGAAATTAGAAAATGGACGTGCCGACTCACACCACCCAATGTTTCGCTTTTCACTCTACATCCTTACGCTGATTTCAACGGAACGAATTGCCACAGAATGTCTCAGCTAAGCCCAAGGCCACAACAATGCAATAAAATGACGGCAAGTATTCGGCGATTTAAATGTGATGCAGTCGAGAGTCATGCGGACTCTCGACTGCATCAAATTTTCCAAGATGTATGACTTGAATGAGGAATGTAAGAGGGAGTTGAAAAAGAATCGAATCTTTAAATGTCAGTAGGTTGTTTAAGCTTTATCAATACTATATATATATATATCACGTCAGGGTTATAAAAAGAAAAAAAGAAATGAATTGTACAGACTTAATCCAACAAAAAAAGCCTCGGCACTTTTTCGGCTTCCAATAAAATCTTTTTTATTAATGATTGAGATCTTCTTTATTCTTAGGAAGCCCAAATTAAATGTCTGACAAATATGGAAATGAAATTCCTTATTTGATTTTCGTCTACAAAATTTCTGAAGCAGCTAGGCTTTTGATGATTTTAACTTGTTTCAATTAAAAAATTTACAACTGTACAATTCATTTCTCAGCTCTTATCAAAAAAAAAAAAAAAAAAACATAAACGCTTAATTATTCTTTCCTAATTTCTTCTTCATTCCTTACCAAATCAGTTGTGCATGTAGTGCATATTGCTTATTTTGATTTATTTTTAAAACAAAAACTTTTAAAATCAAATTCAAAAACTCAAAAATTTGTATTGTTGGATTTTTTAGAGTACCTCTTTAATGTCTTGTCAGCACATAAATGAAAAAGAATATATTTTATTAAGCAAAAGCGGAAAAATACAAAAATATTAATTCCTGTATTTATTAAAAGAACTGCTGAAATTTTTGAACAGTTGGGTCTTATTTTATTCCACGCAATACTGACCACAAATAGCTGAATAAAATTAGCAGAAAAGATGGTTTTTAGGATCAGTAATAAATTCATTAATTTTATCTGCAAACCATCGCGGATATTTCAAGTAGAAGTCATGACCACCAAGCGAATGCTTCTCAATTCTGAAAAGTGTTTTGTTATATCATTTTTCCTTAAATTGTACTTCATACTATTAAAGAAAAAAAAAAAACTTTTTTCAATATTTTGATCAATCGTTTGCAATTGTAAGCACATAAAATAATATCACAAATTACAATGAGTCCTTCAAAAACACACCTGCAATTGGTAAGTGCTATTTCAAAGTACTTAGGATCAGCACAAAATCTATCCATACCGCCGGTCATAACCAAAACTGGAATCTTCAAATTGGGCAGCACATAGTCTGATGGAAAACGACCTCCCAGCAAATCGTAAACTCTAACAATTTTAGGAAATATATTGACATTTTGGAAAGTGATAATATCATCTGTTCTACTGTTGGATTTCTTTGCATATATATGTACCAACAAATCTTGGTAATATTGATCTTAGTAGTATTAAAATTTTTAAAAAACTAATTTACTTTCTTATGTTCCGAAAAAAGAATAGCTTTACGTTTCAATAAATTAATTCTTTCAAAAGTTAATTATGAAGTGCTTGGAGCATCAATAAAGCTCGTTTAGCTTGATTTTCAGAATTTTTTCATGATATTAAACTAACTTAATTTAGTATTTGATTTTTCACATTCTAGCCTAATCTACTTTAAGCTTACTTACTGTTGGACGACATCACATAAATCAGCCCACTGTTTTTGAACAAATTCTTTTGGGTAATGCTTTAAATATACTTCAGTTGCATTTGGCAACCACTGATTTATGTTTCGCATACCTGAAGTATACAACTCATTATTTTTTATTCAATTTATAATTTGATCAATTTTTATTAGACAATTTAAACACTGAAATTTGAACACATAGTAGTAGTATTTCAGTTACCATTGAAATGAAAAATATTAAGCTATTTGAAATTTAACAAAGATACACCGCGAAAAATGCGCGCTCCACGTTGATCAATTCGTGTAGCTGCGGCTAATAAAATAGCACCGTTGACTAGCTGTTTTCCTAGTCCAGCAACGTGGATTGCTGTTCGAGAACCTTCACTCCAGCCAAGTACTAAGAAGGGTGTCAAATTCAACTGCTGAAATGCAACAAAATATTTGACCTTTGAACTAACCTCTGAACAGACTAGTAAAATAAAAAATCAGCTAAGATAACTGTAATGATATTTTCGTGAATATTTTTCAAAATCTCATTCAATAGTTCCTTTTTAGACAGAAACATTGAGTGATGAGAGTGATTTAGCAAGTTTTGATATTATTCCATATCCTATATGCACTATTTTTGAAATTCTTGAACCCTTCCAATGCAAGTAATATTTACCCAAACTCTAAACCACCGCAGTATTCCCTGTCTCCTATTTTTATGAGTTCAGTTAGATAATCAGCTGTCAAATTGTTTCACATCATTAATGTAATGTAAATTTATTATGTTGGGAGAAGCAAAACCTGCATAAGCTTTATACAGAAGGGTGCATCCTTCATACATCGATTTACTTCTTGTTGTCTGAAAGTTTCAATCAAAATTAATTACTTAAAATGAAAGGAATAGAGTTTCGAGATAGTGCAAATAATTAGGCCGATGTATCAATGAGAAAAACAAATAATATCTCATTTATTAGTCTGAAGTAAATGCTGCCACAAAATACAATGAGGAGAACTTACCGTTCTGGAGGACGACTTTTACCGTAACCAGGTGGATCGATGCAAATAATTGTATAATTATCAGGATTGAAAGCGTTCAGCAATTTTTCGGGAAAATCTTTTGCATAACAGCCTGTAATTTTTTCAAAAATATGTTATTCATTTCTTATAATTTGTTTGTACATAAAATTTTGTGTCATACTCTTATAAATGAAGACTCGAATACAAAAACAAATGACCCTTTTTAAAAATTCTTTAGCGAAATGGCAGAAAAAGCCTTTAAACTCACCAACTCCGCCACAGATGAATAGCATAATATATTTTCCCGCACCATACCTACAGTAACCAATTTTCTGCTCATCAATTATTATGGTCAGTTCAGCGATTTCATTATTCTTAATTTCTTCATTTCCTCTATCATTTAACACCGTTTCACATTCATTCTTTGTCGATTTCGTATTTGTCATTTTTTCTCTCTGAGAATACCTGAATTCCATTATAGCACATTAATTGTAAAAGCAATTAATATGCAAAAGAAGGAATGAACTCTGATTTATTTGCAGCTGGATACCGCTATAAGTTTTCCTACTAGTCTGAATATATAGAGGGAGCAGATGTAGAATATTGAACACATATGCAATATCCTAATTATGAGAACTCGGAATTGACCCGACATTATTTGACAACAATACTATTCCAGTCTAAATGCTGTTAAATTTGTTGCAATAATAAAACAGGAATGAATTATTACTTTGAAGTCCGAAGCTATCACTCAAAGTAATAGGAAGTTATAAAGCTACAGGATCCATCGCTTGAGTACTAATATTCATTTCTCCAACACATTGTGAGTGATGAGTTCTACGGTAGGATTTCAACGCGTAGATAGAAAGATCTAATAAACTACTCAAATGCTCTCCTCTAATATCAAAACAAACACTATAGAGCTTAATCGCATAATACCTGAGAAGCTGAAAATAATGATATAATGTCATTTATTTCTACCTGAAGTGGTGATAACATTTCTGCGCCCCTTCGGAGTACCATATATCTTACAACTTAGTGCTGCATAATCATCTTTTCCCTTTCTTCTTCTAACTTTTCTGTCCTTTCTGTCCCTTAAGTTTTATAATTATTTCTCAAGTTGAAAAAATAAGTTTTTTTTGCTCACTCATGCTCTTATATCACTTGTTTTTTTTCCTCCCGTGATTATCCATTCCATTTTAAGCGGAGTTTGAACTGTCAGAGATATGCTTTAATCATCAATGTGATATTTTAAACTTATCTGTAATGACTCTGAAAATTAAGGGGAAAAAGTTTGACAGCAGTGATAAAAAAGAAGAAAAAATGAGGCATCGGTCTGACTACATGAACAAAGAATGTAATGAAACCTGTCTTGCGAGAAATGGTTTGCTAACGAAAATATAATTAATGAAGGAAGAAGAATGGTATTTTAATTTGATTTCTGAATCACTATGACAATAACAAATGTTGAAATTTTGACATGCATAAAATGGAATCATATTGACTTTTATTAGTAATTTAACAAAGAAATAAAGAAAACTGAAAGTGGAACGAAAAAAGACAGTTTAAAGACTATTAACAAATAGATAGGTAGGTAGTGATCATCACTTCTGAATATAATTTGTTGAATTTTGCCAATTTTTTGAATATTAATAAAATGAAATTATGAAGTAGTCACCAATTCCGTGATAATAATCATATCTTAAGAATGAAATTGCGAAAAAAATTTACGTTGCGCCTTCTTATCTTCATGTCAGATTGGATCTGGAATGTCTCATTGATTTATCGATGGATAATTTGGAAGTGTTATTATATTAAATTCATTAATTGAAATTTGTTTGCTATTTGAAAGAATTTCAACTCATGTACAGTGAATCATATGATAATTATACATTCAGCATGGAAGCGATATGATTGATCAGAAAAGTGATTCCCTTATTTACTATAATGCAATAATATAGTCATGACAATTAGCAAGTGATCAAAGAACTTAGTCATATTGCATATGTTTGCAATAGCACAATAGCAAAAAAAAAATTTGTAAATGGTAGAGTTTGATGAACTGTTAAAAAACTAGATTCGATGCATATTTACAGTGATAAAACCAGATTTTAACGAAATGAAG